CAAAAATGGAAGGTGTTCACCTTTGTTATCGGTGGGGACCATGTGACCGCCATCTGTTGACTGGTGGTTTTTGGGTACACTCTCCATGCCAGGTGGGGTCTCTGTGCAAGCAATACTAGTACCGATCAGAAATATTTTTTCAGGTGTAAAGGCGGTGAAGAAGAGAGAGACGTGGACTTACCTTTGTTTTAAAGTTTGTCTGGTAGCCTCTGTGGTGGGGCTTCCGCGGCGGAGAAGGGTTGATGAAGATGTGGACGGCGAGTCTGGTTGGTGAGAGAAGATAGGGTTTTAAAGGGGAGCGCTCATTTTGGACGGGTCTGTATTATGGGCTTTCATTTTGATCACATCTGCGACTATAAAGGGCTCATATGGGTCACTGTATTATGGGCTTAAACAATGGGCCTGTATGTTTTCTGATTTTAGCTTCTTATTGGCCTGCAGGTTTGTGGATTGAGGTCCAGGCAAGGTAATTTATACATAATCGAATTTTATATCTAAAATTTAGATGTGTACAGTTCTAATAACTCAGATCTCCCATCTATGATATTAACTATAGTATGTGTTTGAAGAACTGATCGCCAAAAGTGAAGGTGAATGTAGTTCTTGATCGTTTATGACTTGGACGCATGATCAAGACAAAACATTAACCTCTCTGAACTGTTAAGATACAAACATTAGGGTCTTCTAAATTGACAAAATACAGTAAGCGACGGGTAGATAGTTGTCAACGCGAGTGCATCAGAGAATTTCTTCGATCCTATAAAAGAAAAAATCATTTCTTTCAAGCACATTTACTGATATGAACATTCATCAGTTTAATAGGTTTAATGGAATTACCTGATATGCAGTTTAGGTATCCACAATATTAGCAAATGCTTCGTTGAAAACTATGTTTCTTGTAAAGTCATGAGGTATTTATGCTGGGTTTTCTATAAGAATCCTCAAACCTCTCACTGATTTTACTCTTGAAACTCCCACATAGAGTTGGCCATGGATAAAAACTAGTTCAGGTAAATATATCCCAACTTTTTCGAGTGTTTGTCCTTGGCTTTTATTTATAGTCATTGCATAGCATAATCGTACTGGGAATTGTCTCCTTTTGAGTATAAAGGGCCACTTGGAGTTATCCACATTTAACACTATTCTTGGTATAACGACCTCATCAGTGTCATAAGAACCGCCCATAATGTTGCCTTTTATATAGTTGTCCCCCAACGATGTGATCATGATTCTTGTGTCGTTGCATAAGCCAAGACTAGGGTTCAAGTTGTGTAAGAGCATAACTGGTGTGTTTACCTTTAATGTGAGCTCGTGGTATGGTACTCCGTTGAATGTAAGAGTGTTGAGAAACTCAGTTGGATAGCTTTCGTCAAACGAATCCGCTGTTTTTGTCGATAGCAATAGTGAGTCTGAGCTGTAATAGGTTGTTGAATTGCCTGGAACACGCTGAAGCATGTAGTTATTAATTGTTGAGACAGTTGCATTCGTTGGAGTGACTATGGCTCTACTCGTGAGGTATGGTGGGTGCTTATGATTATGAGGAAACGAATCATATATATCACCTGCAATTGACTGAACAGGATCAACTCCAAGGTGAATCAGGAACAACTGTGGAATATGTATCCAATCCATTGGGGCATCTTCTCTGAATGATCTTGCTTTAAGTTTTCCATCTCCTAAAGCAAGGACCCATTCTGGAAATTGTATCCATGTATAAGTTGTTGGTCAGCAGGCTGGACTTGGGAAGAAATGTTGCCGCAATCCCCGATGATGCAACCAGAACAACTATCTTGCCCAAACTCCTAAGCCTTGATGCAATTACATTATAGAGATATGTTTTGCCTGTACCTCCGTGACCATATAGGAAGAAAGCACGACCCATCTTGTTGTGCACTGAATTGATAACGGCTGAATATAAATTGGTTTGCTCAAGATTCAGAGATTGCAACATTGTGGTGGCTAATGCATGTTGCTGGTGTGCATCGAAAGCAAGATGCTCGTTTATGAGTGGATTCTCGCCACTATCGCATAGACCATCTGATGGGAGTGGAAGATTAAAGTCCTCAAGAGTCATTGAGTGTGAGCTCAACATAGCTTGTAGTTGATGTAGAACCCAGTTCTGTAATCGTTCGTCGCTGGGCCTCAGAGTTTGATCTCTGAGATCCTTGATTAAACTGTACGCATAATCTTCAGACATAGATTTCCAAGAATAATTGAACAATGTTACCAGGCTTGGTATTTCACAGAACATAAGCATTGACACAAAAGTGCTTCAAATCACTCGCGGCATGCTAGAAGATGAGATATCAGTTAGCACTCGTATCCATTCTGAAGAGTCTGATAAGGCCCAATTTTTCACAAGTTTTTTCAAAATCTGCACAAAGTTCTCCATTGACAGTTCTAAGATGAGCATAACTAACAGAGCCGCGAACTTTTGTGAGCAGCATTCGGAGGAAAAAAACATCGCCAGAACCTGGTGGAACATATGCAATTCTGCCTATTGTGAATCCTTTCTTGCCAGGACTCCACTCTTTACAGTCAGGTAACCAGGTGTAGTTGTTTGCTATCTGTGCATATGTCAGAATTCTTGCCTGGGGGTCCCTACGATTAAGCGCAAACCATTTTGTTAAGTGCGTCTTACCGGCATAAGGATTCCCCAGATTATTTCGAACATTGGACTGCTTCTTATAAGATATTTTTTGCTGGCCATCCAAATGAACTCCCAAGCGCACAACTGTCGGTTCTCTAAAATGTATTGGATATTCATTCAGCCTCCATATAGCTTCATAAGATGACAACGATCGGCAGTCAATGAATTGCTGAATTTCATCTCTGTATTTCACGGGTAGCACCTCTACATTGTTGTGGGGTGCATCAGCATTTTCAGCAATCACTAATGACCTGTCTGACCCTTTTGTCACATATTTGAAAAGATATTTAATAAGTTTGCCTTTATGACATACCTCAACATTGATAAGAGCCTGCATTCTCACCAACAAAATTCTGTTGTATGGAACAACATGTCGATTGTCGAGGACTGAACTTCCCTTTTGAACCTCTATGCCCAAGTTTGATCTTCTATAGACGACATTTCCGAACTTTTCAAATGACGTGGCTGAGTTAAACTCTTTTGGGAATTGTTTGGAACATCTGTCGTTTGAGGATCGTTTTTTGTCTCGCATGCACAGTGCATTTGTGTTTGCTTCGCCGCATGGGCCATGTAACATATATTTGCAAACAACCTCATATCCAACTGGATCTTCTTGAGGGTCCGGAATTTCAGCTGAGATGACCTCATCAATATCTCCAGTTGTCCTCAGCTTATTCTCCTCAGCCAGCCAAACCAGCAAGTGTATGGGGGGCAAACCTTTTTTGGAACTCCATTGTATACATTACTGGCGCAAAGCAAAACTTGTTAAAAAGGCAGATATCCAAATATGTGTATTGAAAATTAAATGATAGTTGAAGTTGAAAAAATCAAACTATATTAAATGACCAGGCCGATCTTACTTGCAATTGTCTTCCCAAAGTAGGAGTTTTACTTAATGTCATCAATGAGAATGCTGACCTTAATGTGAAAAACCCTTGAAACCACCATTGGTTTGTCTGAGCTATTCGGACCAACAATATCATGAAAAGCTTCTGTGATTTCTTCCCACAATGAATTACACGTAAATGTAATAAATAGATCTGGATGTCCATAGAATTCGACCACCGCCATTGCATCGTGATATAGTTGTTGCATATATCGTGGGCTACCAATGTAAGTCCCTGGGAGCACAACATGACCCACTTTATCCCCGTCAAGATCACCCCGTGCCATTGCATCTTGCAAGCCTTGATAAACCTCAGCTCTAAGTTGTGGCTGATGGTAGCGCAAAAAAGCCAACCTATTTAACTCTGTTGATGAATAGGCGTCAATGCAAAAGTGCTGAAGAGCTTTTCCAGCTTGAACAATTGTATAGCCTTCGTTGATGCGATATTGGAGCCTAAATGTGTAATTTTCACGCTGAGTAACAAACTGTCTGCGCATAGAAGGAGGGCAGAAAGCTGACCTGTACTTGATAAGAGGATGATAACCATCCTCTCCATATGGAAATAAGAGCGGGAAATGCAATGCATCAAATTTTGGATTGAGGCTTGTAATTCTCTTTAAACCTTCATAGATGTGATCAACTATGATATCTCGATCGTCTCTGTCTGGAATAAAATCGCCTGGTATTAGTGCGGCAATTTCAGTGCTGCTATTTAAGTCATACTGTCGATTTCTGCTCTTAGCTCCAAAAATTCGAAGCTTTAAATTTGTTGTTGTAGAATCTTGCAGGTGCTGCCGAACCTGCCTGAATGTCTTGACAAGTTGATTGTTTTGATCCAACATTTGAAGCAATAAAGTGAGCAATTCTGGCATAAGTAGACCATCACGGGAAACAAAGTTTGCCAAACGGTTGTCAATCTCATTCTCTGGTTAAAAAATATAGAGCTGGCCAAACTTTGGTTTTTCACCATCAGGAGGCAGCAATGAACCAATCCTATGATAATTTTCTCCACATATTACCATTGAATAAGGTCCCCTTCAAGAGGGAGAGCGAGGGTCGATAGAAGCGCCAAATGATGTGAAGCACAATGAACCATTGTACGGTCTAATGTTGTCCCTGAAATGCTTGGACATAACGCCACCATCAAACCGCAGAAGTTCAGCCAACAAATATGGAGGTTTTGCTATAATCGGCAAACCAACGCGACCTTTTTGACAACACAATCCATAAATTGGATTAGTTGTCGCTCGACGGCGGTCTAGTCTCTCCATATTCTAAAACAAAGCACCACAGTATTTACATACACAATCTGGCTGACCTATCCTCAGAATATCATTATGGAGCGGCTTTCTAGCTGTGGGAATGTGCCTACCACAGGATGGAGTTTCGCCTGAGCTCCAGCGGCTTAAACGATCAGTTTTCTGACGGTTAGCCTGTGTTACTCGACTGTTGCTTTCGTTACATTCAGCCCCCATATAACGCTCCCCCTGTTCCTGATAAAATATGGGTTGGGTTATTTCTCTGTCTCCCAATTGCTTCATAGTCTGATAGCACAATATCCTTTGCCGTGATGGACCTGATATGTGAACAACAAACATAAGAGTATACTACAGTAAGCGGCCGATATGAACGAAAATTAGTAACGCATGATACGCCCATAGGTATTTTATACTTCAAACAGCAGAGATAGAATAATGTTGAACCTATCACCTGCTGGTGATGGCGAGACTTGATGAAGATTCGTTAATTACCCCTGCATGGTGCTCTGAGACACAATAGGTGTATCCCCAAACACTGCTGAAGGAGTTATAAGATCCTCTAATGGCTGTTTGGGAATTTCAATTCTAGCTCTCTTACGTGTTAAAGTCTGATATTGAGCTTTTCTTATTCTTGGAGGCATTGCTGCACAGTGAAGACAATAACGGGAAAAGGACCAACGCCATTTATTGCTGGGTTGCTTCATTAATCAGGTTGAGACAAATATAAACCAAATCGGATATAATGAATGAGGAAGTAATGAAAGCGAATAACATTAACTACTCTCATTTATTCAGTAGACTCATCGATGACGGAAATAAATGAGAATTCACTCTACCTTCGACAGTCAGAGGCGTGATGGTTGTATAGATGACTATCCAAATCTGCTGGGCAAGCAAAAGATACAAATGAGCAAATCTTAGATGAAGTATCAGAGTGAGATGGGAGAAGTTCCTAGAGAAGTTGACTCAATCCCAATGAGGAAGAAGACCTATATTAAAATGTGTTATCATGGATATCCGAGCTATGCAGTAGTATCTATCTATATTAAAATGTGTTATTATGGGTATGCGAGATATGCATTAGTATATTGCTATATAACTCCAAAAATATCTAACATTATGCTCATTAATAAAATGAGGAAAAACAATCATATTAGTTTGATCTTTGTATAGAAAGAGGCTGCATTACGGTAAGAAGAATTTACAATATATTTTTTCATCGCAAATTTCCACGAGCGTTTTTCCTTTTCGAAACACGTGAGCTCAATTGGAATTCATGAATTATATTGATAAATAACAACTTGTTTATTCTGGACACGGTCTATGGGCTCCAACATAATAACCACATTCCCATCCAAATTGCTTATATATGTTCAAACATGTGTTTTTAGGACTGTCGATTCCATGAAATGTTGAATATACTCCAACACATCATGGTAACTAAATTTATAGAGGAGGTTAATTCTTGAATAAAACGTGAGTTTGTTAGACTTTAAGAGGAAGAATCAACGAAAGTTCAGCAAAACAGGAACATGACCACGCTAAGAATAGACATTCACTGAGGTTGGAAAATGAAATGACCTATTTAAGCAACGATAAGTAGAATTGATATTATATAACACCTGATAAGAGAAAACAGCCTGGCAGCAGTATTACAGTAAGTCACCACGCAAAAGTCACATATAGCAACCAACACAACTTAAATACCATCAGAAGAGCTAATACTAACTAATAAGATTGGAACTACCCGACAAAAGATAGATGGCTGCATAAACCAAAAGCACAGAAGAAATACATCCTCTGATAACATCCACACAGGTGCAGCCAGTACATTTCCGAGATCAAAAGGCCCAGAACATGATTGTTCAAACAAAGAGAATAACTTGCAAAAGCAAAAAAAAAAAACATAACATCTCCTTGAATATAATACAGCTACGATTCCAGAGACATCATCAAACATATCTTTAGTTCCTGCAACAAACAACATGGAAAGATAAGAATCATGGTACGCACAAAAACTAACCTGCAACAAAAATGTTGTGAGAGGACAGAATTAAATAACAAAGCGAGGAGTACCCTTGAAACCATGGTCACTTCTTGAACAAAGCACGTTTTGCAGCCGAGTTCTTCTGACTATCCACTGAAGAATCCCTTTCTATATTAACACCTGCCTGCGAGGAACCACCATGTGGCACCTGAGCAATATCGGCAGCATCTAATTTCTCCACCTTGATCTTGGCCAGTGGAGAAACCAACCTTGAATCAAATAGAGTTTCTGATTTGTCAGAACTGGAGAAATAACACAAACATAAAACAGTAGAGAATTGATAATGTACAGTATAAATACTCACAGCGATGCCGAAGGCGAGCCGACGGTTGAACCTAAGGTCTTTCCAAGAGATGACTCGGGGGATGGCTTCAGAATTTTTGCAGCGGGCATAGATGAATCACGACCAACATCCTCAGGGCTCATGGACTCATCAATTCTGGATGATCGTTTGGGGATCATCGAAGTAGCAGATTGGACAGATGGTGCACAAGAATGGACTGCAGAAGACATGGGCACAGTTGCAGCAGCTCGGGTAGAGCCCACTTGTACACCCATCACTGAAAGCTGAGAACCTCCAAGAATCCGCGACCCAGTATCAATATCTTCACTTCCGACATTTGCAGAAATAGGGTTCCGCAAATCCTTGGCCTCGGAGCTGGGAAATCTGCAAATAATGATTACTAATTCAGGTTACATTCTCGAACAACATCGCAAATAAGAAAAAATAAGCTTCAGAAAAAACGTCAATACCTATCAATTAGATCTGGTTCATCAGTGATGTTAAACGGCATAGCTGGAGCTTCAACGAGGAGAGAGTCTGAAACCTTTTCCTTTCCCTTTGCAGCCCTTCAGAACATATTACAAATAATTCACTTTAGACGTGGTAGACAGACCAAAGCAAAACATACAAAAACCAAAGCGACCAGTACTAACCTCGATGAACCTGATGGGCCTCCCACGCTACTCGATGTGCACACAACAGGAGCAGCCAACGGAGGGTGCGAAGAATACTCAAGCAAATCACCCACCACCGTAGGATCATCAAGAGGAACGACTTGGCTAACACGGAATTCACCCGAAGAGAAACCAGTGGGGCCCGGCAACGGCAACCTACAATCAAACTTGACATATTGCCCTCGCAATTGATGCAGTTGTGGGGGCAGCTAACCAGGACGATGGGGGAACCTTTGGGCCAGGTGTGCAGCAGAAACGTTAACCAGCGCAAGTGCACACCCCCCCCCCCCCCATCAGTATAAAGCGAGCCTCACAAGAGTCATCCCTCAGTGTAAGCTGGAGCTTGTAGCCGAGGAAAAAAGAACATCAGCAGCAAAACTTACAACAGACAACAAATATACAAAAAAGTATGCACAATCATACTTGACTCGGGTTTGTTCCTTGTCCAGCTGCCAATCCTTTGGACACCAAAACGTATAATCACGACGCTTCGAAACAGCCCTCGAACATAACTTGCATGAAATATAATACCAAGGTGTGCTTGACTCTACATCGACAATCACTCCACCGCAACGATACTTCTCTTCCTACCAAAGAAAAGAAGGCCAAGTTACTTCCAAACACGGGGAAAACAAAAGCAGTAAAGTTTTTGAGAGGAATATGCAGAACCCGTGAGGAATTCGTTCTGGATAAGGCCAACAACTGGTCCAAAGTCTTAGTTCGACAATCTGCATCAGCTGTAGCATCAACTGCCGTAGCAAAATCAACTGGCAAGGATTCAACAACCTCATGTTTCTCAGCAAACCTGGCAGAAATCCTAGCAGCATGAATTCGATAACATAGAAGCCTTGGTAAATAATGCACCACACAAACAGTACACACAAAATCGACAACAACCCACAACTAGCTTACCTAGATGCAAGATAATAAGCCTTTGGTACAGGAGGATTGATTGCTATGCGAGTAGCGGCTGAACTCGACAGAACATAATCATCTGAAAGTAGAATAAAAGACGGTAAAAAACTATAACATACTAATAGACCCCACACTACCTCGTGAAAAGGTGCATGCAATAAGGAAACAACAACATACCTCCCAACTTATTAACCAGCAAGCCGCCAAGTGCCAAAATCACAGCTTCAATCGAGTCAGCCTGACTGAGAGCAACATGATCCAACACCATGGAGAACTCATCCCAGAGCGTAATCGAGACCTTCACTCCACTGAGAAAAAATACAGGGACACGTAAGAGAAGCAAAGAACAAACACGACACACACAACCAAACTCAAAAACCTATAAAAGGCCAAAACACCTTTCATCCTCAATGGTAATCGTCTGCTTGACTGCAGGGCCGTTATTTGTGATCTTGTGCGATATCCCACTGATCGAATAGAATCGGCCAATGACATCTACGAAAACAGTACAAAGGCAAAATCTTAGTAAACAAACAACAGATATATAAGCAAAGTTAACCTAAAAAAACAAACCTGCTAACCTGTCAAGTAACAATGGTTACCGGCACGCATATTTAACTGGGAGAAAGCCACAAACTCGTAAGCATCAACCAGGAAACTTTCAGCAGGAAGAACACAGGGCTGGAAAGAAGTCGAAGGCGAAAGCCCCAAAGCCAAATCAAAGGAACACGATCGATACTGATTCGGCGGGTTTCTCAGGGCAAAAGACTTTATGACGTATATCTTTCCAACCGAGAGATTACGACGAATCCCAGAAGCCATTGAAGTTGGTGAGACGCCATGAATCAGCGTACCCTGCGCAAAGCATACCAACTTATCTTATGAACAAAATAAAGAGGTAACAACAAACCAGAGCACAAAAGAGAAGGTGGGAAGGATAAGAAACTAACCATTTAGTCGACCCAAAGAGTACAGTAATTGTAGATCCTAATGTCCCCTGGAGACTTCGCCGGCCACACATGCAGCAGCTGAAGCCGTAAAGAAACGCTGGCATTGCGCGGACCTCCGAGGTTACAAAGCAATGTGAATTCCATGTTTTGGGAGAAGAAGAGCACCAAAGAGAGAGGAAGCAATTTTTTAGAAAGAGAACAGAATGACAGTAGGGAAATTTCGGCGCTACAAAAAAGTAAAAAAATGAGGGAAAGAATAAGCAGGCGCAAGGGTAATATGTGTCAGTTACCGGTCCAATGAAGGAGAGAAACGTAAGGAATGGGAAACGATACTTTCATTCACAAAGAGATAAGGACGACGTTAAATCAAGAAACCGCCAGGGAAAGCATAAAAAGCAACAAAGGATTTCCAGTTGCTGAAGCGGCGGGTGTCAGATACCAGGCCAAACACAAAGAGAGACACTCCCCCCGAGGCCCAAATGCAAAGGGCTGTGTAAAGAAAAGCGCACCCATCATTGGCCGAAATTCAGAAGGACAAGAACCAATATCCACGGCAAGAGAGAAAAGCAAAGAAAGACGTATAGAATGACTAGTGTAATAATTATAAGCAGGCGTAATAATTATCAGGCCGCCTCAGAGGGAATGGTTGAGAGAATTAGAAAGCAAAGGGAAAATGAGCGTCCAGTTGAGGGCAACGCGACACACACAGAAACAACAGAGGACAAAAAACCCCGGGCCCACACCCTGCCGAGCAGCCAATAAGAAAAAGCGGCCGGGCCCAAACGCATACCATGGACCAATGGGGAAAGAGTGAACAGTAATTTTGAGTCTAAATGAATAGTAATTCCGTGTCTAGGCGAACAGTGCACCGTATCTTTGAAAATAACTTCTTTCAATTTCAGCATATTGCCTAGCGTTACGCTTGTTTACCCTAAAAGTTAATCTTGTACCACATCGGTTAAAACAAGGAATTAAATGGTTTTATAAAGCAAACTTAATTATAATAGTTTAAATTAGAGGTGGCAATTAGGATCCAAATCCATGAATCCAATCCAATCCATCCATCAAATTATCCACCTAATCCAATCCATTTAAATCCATTACGATTTGGTACCTATATTTTTTATATTTTACATTTTGGTACCTAAAATTTATATTTTTATAAGAAAAATATCATTGGAAAATACAATTTTGGTACCTAAAATTTTTCATTATGACATTTTAGTACCAAAACTTTTCAAATTTTACATTTTGGTCCAAGCTTTGGATGTCATTTGGATTCATGGATCAATCCACCAATCCATTTGATCCAATCCATGAATCCACCAATCCATTGGATCCAATCCATTTGATCCATGGATCCAACAATCCAATCCATGAATCCACGAATCCGATCCAATTGCCACCTCTAGTTTAAATCAATTAAGTGGGCCATGTGGGTTGGGTGTTTGGCCCATTACAGCATGTCACCATGCGCACCATTCTAACCCAATTTGACTAAGTATTGAAGCCACCTCACGATGTACTGAGAGGGTGGGCATCATACTGCCACCCTCAGACGTGGTAGCCACCCCAAGACATGTTAAGGGGGGTGACCATCATATCGTCACCCCCCAGGAGGTATCGAGGGGGGTGGGCATCATACAACCACCCCCATGACATGTTGAAGGTGGTGATGGCCGAATTTGGCTAAGGAAAGGAGTATGCAAGCCACCCCAATGACATGCCGAGGGGGCTGGGCGCTATACCACCACCCCCAGGAGGTAGTATCACGGCCTTACTCTTGGTCGTGCATCCCTAACTCTCAATTCCGTTAGAGATGTTAGGCAGCCTTCTCACATGCTCTCAAACTCACTCAACTCACAAGAAGAAGACACAAGAAGATGAGAGAAACTCTATAGTTGTATTGCTCACAAAAATGATGGATGAGTTACAAGTAAGGGATATGGCTCCTTATATAGGCATCTCCTCATACAAGGCATCAATGCCTCTCATAATGATCCCTCCACATTACCACACCCTATTATGTTTCCCCCATAATGCACCCATATAATGCCACCCATAATGTGACTCATAAAGTGCACTATTAAGCTCATGTTTAAGATGAGAATTCTAGAAGCATCCTATGCTACTAGGTCTTCCATAATGCCACGTATGCTTGACTTGGTCATGATCCGCCACATCACTCGCCATGTCGCTTGCCATGTGTGACATTCTCCCCCACTTATTCTCTCGACGCCCTCGTCGCGTCCTTGCTACGAAATGCCTCCATCGACCTCGAGCAGCCTCTCTCGACTCTTGAGCCTCGTTGGTGATAGTACCGTGGGGGGTGGGCACCAGTGACCATCATATCGCCACCCCCAAGAGGTAACGAGAGGGTTGGGCATCATACTGCCACCCCCATAAAGTTGTGAGGGGGTTGCATTAGAAAAAGCAAACGTAAAGCATCTTCTTTACTCAATCATTATCACTTTGTAAAATTAATTACTTAGTTATTTGAACCCTAAACTAATAGTTAAGGAGTGAAACCTTGGGTCAATTAAATGCAACTTTGACCTTCGGAATTTAATCCAAAACCCGCCATTGGAGATGTTTGTTTTATCATTAGAGAAGCTAGTCCCTTTGTTGTTGCCGGAAATCACTACAAAATTAGTAAGCGTAGGGGACAAATATAGGAGACGCTGATTTTATTTCATTCCCGTAAATACCATTTTAAGTGATTTTGGAGACAAATTAGTAAATGTGTCTCCATAAAAGGAGGAATCAATATTTAATTATATTGTGATTTGTTATTTTGTTCCCAAAAAATACGCAAGCGGCATGTAACACCCTGAATTTTGGGTTTAGGTTCAAACCGCAATAAATTTATAGGTTTGAATTAACGATCAGATATGGAAACTGCAAACCTAAATTGGCCATTGTTCCTAAGCTCTATACGAATAGAATTGGGCCAGAGTGTGATCACTAAATCCATTTAATGTGTGGATTAGGTTACGAGGAGGTAGCCGGCATCCCTAAGAGAGGGGTATGCGCAGCCAGGAAACAGAGATGATGAACGGGGTGATGCCACTGCCAACAAACCAATTAGTAGGGGAAGCGATGGTAAGATGATTGCTACTCTTTAGGTGCTACGAGTTGCTCCACAGAAAGCTGATGACGTGGCCGAAGCAAGGGAAGTGGAAACGAAGCTGCTGCCCCGGGACCATTGATGCGAGAAGGAGAAATACATAGCGGTGAGACAGAGGGACTCAATGGCATCAACGATCAGCTGCGGTGGAGAACTGGATGGAGATAAAGGACAATGGAAAGCATGGGGATTGAAATTAGCATGCAATTACTGGTTGGTCAATGGAGTTGTGGAATAGGGTACGTGAATCTGTACTAGAGAGCTCAATGGTTCGCGTTTCAGGTTGGTCGAGGCATGGCCATCAAGATTGGTCAAAGGGTGCAGACTGAGTCGGTGAATCGGATTATGCATTCCCTAACCAGATAACATGGTATAATACGGTGCATGTTTTAAGGGGCTAGTTAGTATTCCATTCTGAATGATTTATTATGTGATTTGATGATGCATTCTACTAATTGAGTTATATAATATGCTCTTTACATTTGAGTTGCGCATTTATAAGATTCACGTTTAAACTACGCATTATGTTCATTTCTCAATTTATGAAAGCATGAGATTGCATTGCATCACAAGGTTATGTTTTAAGACAAGGGGAAAGCAAGTTACTTTATAGGGTGCTTAGCATATATCTTCTCATTGTGTGGAGGATCAGTTTGAGCAAGTGTTCACGATTATTCAAGTTTACAAGCAAGCGAGAACAAGTTTTAAAACTCACCTAACTAGCTACACCCGCGACCACCTTCCTTCCCATTGCGAGGAAGTTGATCTTATCAAGTTTATCAGGCTCACTACCCATGGTGAGGAAGTTGATTTTACCAAGTTTATCAAGCTCAATTCCCATTGTGAGGAAATTATCAAGTTATCAAGTTTATCAGGATTATCAAGTTTTGGTGGTCGGATGGTTGCGCTAGTTAAGTTCAGTTCGGGGCCCCCTTATCAAGAAAACCTTTTCAAGACACCATTTTCAATTCAAGTAAATGTTTTAATGCATGCGCATTTGCAATCACTATGCAAGTGGATAATTATATCTTATGTAAAGAATGGAACTAGGACTAAGACTGACCCCAACGTCCGCACACTCAGAGATTGTAGGGTAATTAGGAGTGCATTAAAGGAGACGATTTGGTCATGACGAGGTTCAAGGCTCCAGCGGACTCTAGTACGAGGAATTAAATTCTTATGTAGTTAGTAGGATCGAGACTTGATTTGTATTTATTAAGTATGTTTGTGTTTTTCGTGTACGCGGAAGCCAGCATGGAGTGGCCCTAAGAGGATAAATGAGGCTACTTAGGGGTGGATTCGGTTCGGTTATAACCAATAACCGATTGGTCGGTTACCGGTTAACCGAACCACCATCTCCCCCTACCGAACACCGATCGACGCAAATGCCTCAGTTAACCAATAACCACTGGTCGGTTATCGGTTAGTTGGTCGGTTAATCGAGATAACCTAAAAAATGATGGTGGTTCGGTTTTAACCGGGTAAAATTATTAGAATCGCCTAAAATGAAAGGTTCTAACTTACATTTCTACATCTAAATCACACCGAAAGTCTCAATCAATTTTGCATAGAAAATACATCTAAATCACCAAATTAATGTCTCAAATTCAACAACATAAAGTTATAAACTTCATAACCGGGTATTTTCACGTCGTTTTGGTGAGGGGGGTGGTCGGTCGGTTATTTTTGGTTAACCGGATAACCGGTTTTTGGTTACTCGGTTAACCGAATTACCTATTAGGAGCTCCGACCACCGACCGAAGCATATAATTTTCGGTTATCAGTTAACCGGTAATCGTCGGTTATCGGTTTAATCGACCTGTTAACAGGCAACCGATAACCAAACCTCCAGCCCTAAGGCTACTGGCCTGGAATGTGCAGGGAATTGGACCCTCCCTCACATTCCAAATAGCTGTAGGTCTAGTTTGCTCGAATAATCTGGAGATTGTTTTCTTTTCAGAAACAAGGTCCTCGCGGAAATTCGTCTCCTATTGTATGCGGGGATTGGGTTTTGAGT